CCCGTGTGTACACCTGTGAGCATGAGCGCGCTTGCATTTAAACGTTTCCTTCATGTAATGATCTGGTTTACCACCTTTTATAACTGCTTTATTTGAGAATACAAAAGCTGAGTAATGACAAAAATTTAGAATCACAAAACATCTGAATGAATTTTAAAAGTTTATATTTTTTTAATCACAAAATCACTGAAATGTGGGTGAATCCATTACAGACAGGTAAATGCTTTAATCATCCAGTCATGAAAGATTATTCTAAAAGTCATCAACTGACTCCAAATCCCCAGATATGAACCACCTGTCTGCTGAAGAGAAACACTGAACACTACTCTAACAGAGGATGACTATCTTGTTAATTTCGCCTCCTCACTACATATGACTCTGGATACTGTAGCTCCTGTGAAAAATAGAGCCCCAAATCAGAAGTATTTGAATCCCTGGTTTAATTCTCAAACAAGTAGCTTAAAGCAGATAACTCGTAAGCTGGAGAAGAACCAGCATATCACAAATTTAGAAGATCATCATTTAGCCTGGGGAAATAGTTTGCTGCTTTATAAAAAAAAATAAATTCCTCCGTAAAGCTTCATCACTGATTAAAGAAAATAACAACAACCCTTGGTTTCTCTTCAGCACTGTAGCCAGGCTAACTGTACAGCCCAAGCTGTGTTGAGCCAACCATTCCATGAATTTCTTCACAAAATCAAATTTTAACCATTGGATAAAAAATTACTTAATAATCATCTTATGTAACATTATCTACAGCTCTCAAAAAGTTGATTCTGTTCATCTGGATGTAATGTTTTCAGTGCGAGAAACGTTTCGTCACTCATCCAAGTGACTTCTTCAGTCTCAGCTGACTGGTTGGGTTTCTCCAACCTTATAAACAGTACATTTGCATAATGACTGAAGGTAGCACCAACAGGTGTCCATTATTTCACTATAATTGGAACATATTTTAATAAAACAGTTAAAGAACAAAACTTGTGTCAGTGTCCAAATATACATGGACCTAACTGTAATTTGAAATGGGAATTTATTGCTACAGGGTGCCCGCAGCAGCATTATAGTGTAATAGTAGTGACACAGTATATACAATAACACAGCATAGGTCACATGTAAGCACATAAGTAACGTAGGTAGTGATTTTCCTTTTAAGTTAAGGAATAACAACAAATTAACTGAGAGTTAATCTTGTAACTCTGAGCTCCACTGTACTGTCACATATCAATCAATGGATGTGTCTTGCATTAAGCTTTTTAACCAGATGCACAAAGTCCTGCTTTTCCACTGTGTCACTGCATTAGTAATTTCCCTCCAATGTTTGCTCTTCCTGTCCTATAGAATGGAAGTAGCAAGTGTAGCTATCAGTGTTTGGTTGAGTCATTTGTTTACATTTGGGTTGCACATCACCAGCTACTGCTATCTGCTATCACAAAGTTTTTTAAGTTTTTTGTGTTTTTCTGGTGGTTGTTAAAGCTAATTTTATTTTACAAAATTTGCAATGGAGGCTGACATGCATCTCTGTGTCATTCCTTGGGCTTGTCTTGTCATTGCACAGACTAGACTGAGGATATAGTGTTGCTTTAACAATGATATTTAGGTAATTTTATGTATTTTTTATTATTGTTACTAACTGTGATTGTGTGTGTAATATTTTTGCAGCAATGGCTGGAAGCGCATCCACATCCTTTCTTTTTTTGTTGAACACATGCTACTGGGTTTCCAAAAAGAAGACCGTCAGCTCAGGACACATGTCCTAAACACCATTAAAACTCTTAGCAATGTAAGTGGGTTTTTTGTTTTATTGTATGTTGTTTTGCTTTGCTTTAA